AAAATTGACATCATTTACTCCCCCTCATATTGTTCCAAAACCATATGTCTTTCTTTCTTCTAAGAAGATATTTTGAGAAATGTCTCAGTGTTTTTTCCATACAGTGGAAATCAATGGTAAACTTCTGTTTGGAATGACATGACGCTGAGTAAATGATGACAGAATTTTAATTTTTGGGTAGAATATCCCTTTCAACTGTGTGTTTCCTTGTTGGAGTCATTAAATACAATGTCTTAAAAACACAATTGGTTAATCCTGAATTTAAACGTCAGTGTCCAGTGGAGGTGACCTGTCCACACAGGGAGACAGCGAGTCCTGACTGTGAGTAGAGCTTATTCCAGTGTCTGAGTCCGTGTCTGTCGCATCTGTAGGGGAGCATGTCAGCCTGACCTTGTCTGCTGTCTGCTGAGAGACAGAGGCCCTGATCTGGGACTTCAGAGATACAGGGCTAGGCTGGTCCGGACAGGCCCCCAGCTCAAGTGCATTAAGTTGAGCAACCAGATGCTGGTATTCTTGGTTCTGGGACTGCAGGGCTGTTTTGTTCTGCTGTAGTTCCTTCTCGGTTTCCTGCGTTTGTGCATGGAGGGAAAGCCCAGCTCTCATGCTTGACTCAAGTTCACTGCGTAAGCTTTCCAGCTCTAAGAGATCTGAGGAGGACAACGAGAGGTTAGGTTCCAGCTCTAGTTCTGGACTTGCAGCTGCTGCTCCTTTCAAGTCCTCTAAATCTGAAGTCCAGTTCCTCAGCTCCAGGTCAATATCTCGAGAGAGCTGATCAATGAGTTCTTGGTGCCTGCAAGCATGTAGTTCTAGTTGCTCAAGTCCATCACTGGTGTACAGGTACTCCTGAAGCTGACTGTCAAGTTGGGACAACGACTGGCCACCATCACTTTCTGTGATGCTGGAGCGAGGTGGTTTCTCTGCATGTTCGATCTCCAAGTCTATCTCACGCATTTGGTGAATCTGCTGCCGGATGGTCTGATCCTGTGAGATGATCAACTGCACCAGCTTACTGATCTCTTCTGATCCCTCTGATGTCTCTGCTGTCTGGATCTTCTCCAATTTGCGGAAGGCCTTCTTCACCATGCGCTTCTGCTTCTCCGCAGATACAGTCTTGGCGTACTGCGCAGGTCCTTGCTCCCATCTTTTGGACCTTGCTCCCCTAGACTTTGAGGCTCTTTTGCCTCCTTTGGATGATGGCACAAAATCACTGATCTTCATGAGGACAAACTGTATGAAAGGTCTCTCATCGCCCCAAGCATTCCATAGCCGAAGAATTCGAGTGAGAGGTGGCAGTGCTCTCTCAAAGCCCTTCCACCGTTCCAGGATGCAGAAGTCTTTAGGTTCCCCATGTAATAGCCTCTTACTCTCTGGTAAAGTCTGGTGGTCCTCCAATAAAGCCTTGACTACATCTGCGCAGGTTGTGTGCTTGGTCACGCCACAGACTACTTTTTCTTCTCGACACAAAAGAACCTGGATTTCCTTGCCTGGTGTTTCCTCTACAGGCTTAGACCTGGTAAAGAAATATAACAAGTGTGTATTATAAACAACAACAATCACAAGTTTAATATCCCTTAAAATGACTACTAATATGGTCATTTTATACAATAAATTCAAATAATTATTACAAAACAGTTACAAACTATATAAACTAGGCAAATTGTTCATAACAAAGAATTCATTATACGCTACTGTTTTTTTTATCATATGGCAGTTGCTAGTATAAAAGCAATATTGTAACATTGGAGTGTAAGAATATAGTGATTCCACTCATGCCTAAAAACACCCTATAATGGACAGACTGGAGTGGGTTGTTTCTTCATTACTACATACAATCTGGAATGAGGTGAAATACATAAAGCTCACAAACTGTATATGATTCAAGAGTCATTTTACAGTTATAACTGTACTTGGCACAGCTGATGATGGATTCACATCCATAGCTCAGATTTTAAATGCCACACTAAATGGCTGACATTATTCAGATGAGCAGAAGGCTTCATGACCAGTGTATCATATAGCCTCAATTATCTGAAATGGTTGTTTCATAATTTTTCACTCTGTTCAGGTCATAACATCAGGTTATGACTAATTATCTTTCTTAGTTCAGAACTGTAGAGGGTAATTAAAAACTATAAAAAGTGAAAAGCAAATTTAAATGTAAAATTTATAGAGGTAATGTTTATTTCTCAGCAATAAATAAATTAATAGTTTGATTGCTGATGTTTTGTAAAAGGTGACAAAAAATATAAGTGGTGTATTTTGTCTTAATGAATGACCTCAGAAGAATGCAATATATATGCAAGAATGCAGGTGGTTAGTTAATATTTAGAAGACCCTGCTGCTAGCCTACACAAGAGTAAATAGTTGAGCTATTCACATAGCAGACCACCCAATACACTGTTGGTACATAGAAAGAAAAACCATCCTTAAATATACTGTATTCTGTAGGGATATAGGCCTTTAGCTTAGACTGAAAAGTATACAAACTAAATGCAAGATTGATACTTGTTAAATAACTTACTGTAGTGTATACAATGCTATTTTTAACAGTTAATCCCACATTTACACCCGTGCTAGTAATTCCACATAGGGCTGTCGCGGTGAGGGAATTTCCCTTGCGGTAATTTTGACCACATGACATCATCAACATGACATCATAACAGAAGTGTACAACCCTAGCATTTACATAATAAGCAAGTAAAAGTATACAGTAGCTTGTCCACACATGTCAGACACATTAGACTGAAACAGACAATATGCTACAATACAATACAAGCCTTTACACTCAGCTTTACAATGTGCTTTCTTGGCTTGCTATACAATTTTGATCCATTTTAAGAGCTTGCTGTCTACACTGGGAATTCAATATTGTTTTCATGAAATGGTCTATTTTATTTAGTCTTTTCCTAAATTGTCATGCGTACAGGAAACAAATGAGGGGGAATGGAAGCACCTGTGTTTGTCTTGTGGGAAAATGAATGGTGACCAGCAGCATCCTGTTACATACATCCTGCCACCAAGTGCATGTATTGTGAGGCAATGGAACATTCTGAATTCCATTTCATGGATATATTGCAAACGCATGGAGTAACAAACATGTACTAGCCTGGTTTGAAATGTAGATTAGATTTATCTGTTGTGCCCTAATAATCACAACACCAGAGACATTGTCAGAGAACCACTGAAGGTGAAAAGAACAGAACACTCTGCTTCTCAACTCAACTCACAGAGCAAACACAAACACATGTGTGGCCACCAGACTTGAGCCTTGTACTACAGAGAACACGCTGTATCCTTTTACAGACTCAACACAGTGACTGGACAAGGAACATAATCTCCTGAACTCAGTCTATCAAGGTTTATTAGGCTGTACAAAATCATTCTTGGGAAATGAAACATTGATTTAACAAAGATGTGCGGATCATTCAGTGCTATATCTCATTACCATTATTCATTATCTTTATATTAATACATGTGCTCAAAGTTGTAGATATTGATTACATAATAAATCTTTATGCAGCAGATGTAAAATTTGTGACCATGTAAATTAAGAGCAGACGTGAAATCATCTTACATGGGTATTGCCTGTGTCGACTGATTCATTAACAGCAATCTGAGAGATTTTAGTGAGCACATGTGAACCGGAGAGAGGCAAAAGTGAAATGTTCACATTATAATATAAAGGAAACATACTGTCTATACTGTAAAAAAATATAGTTGTCAAAGAAGAAAAAAAAAGATTAATGGAGCATGTTTTGCAAGAAAATGCTAATTCAGTCTTTCTACTTAAAAAATGTACTTAATGCAATGTGTTACTTTTCTTTGTAATTAATTGTGGAATTTACTAGCAGTTTCTGAGTGGCTTCTGTTTTCTTTTTGGTGTAACCACAGTATTATAGAGGCAGTGATAAAAAACAGTCTGCTTCCTGAGCCCTATGTAAAAAGCATGAAAGATTTTTGATGAAAAAAAAAAGATTTTCAGAAAGAACTCTACTTGATATGCATCACTGAGAAGACAAAACATCTCCACTGCATGTTTAGGTGGATCAGTTTGTCTCAATAGCTTGAGCAAAGCAAAGTATAGTTTAAAGATTGTAATGCTGCTCTAGAAGGTTCTTATTTAAGCCTCAACAGAGTGACATTATGTTTTGGTGCACTAAAATACCCATACAATTACGGCAGCTGAGGTAGTTCAGCGGAGTGTAATAACCACCTCCAGTTTAAACTGTCGTTGTTAGAACACACACCTTTGTATGTTCACAAAAAGTATGCCTATGAATTAAAGCATGTATAAATCAACAGTTAAAATTATATTCTGCCTGGACCACATTAAATAAAGCAGACATAGAGTTAGATTACCTTTGATTAGATTTCACTCTGAACATCTGAGATAATTACAGTTGGCTTATGCTTTAAAGGTGATTTTACAGCATCGTAAAACTATAATGTCCCCTCAGAGAGTCTCAAGCTTAAAAAGACTGATAAAGACAGCTAACGTGTCTTTCTGTGCAATAAATTGTCTGCATAGAACATGCATAAATAGATAAAATGTTGAAAAACAGAACCTAAACCCTGATGCAAACTACTTTGGCATAGCCATCCAAGAAAAAATCCTCTTTAATCAGACCACAACAAACACTACTGAATAATGAACCATTTAGACAAGCCAACGTGGAAACACTGAGACATCAAAAGTAACCAAAGCACTTAAACTGCAAAGTAAATTATGCTGTTGATGTAAAGCGTAAAGAGTGAGAACTTTTAAAAATAATTTTGGCAGTAATTTATAGGCTTAAATGAAGTTCATCTCACGCAACCCATTTTTTTCAGGCCCACTAGCTAACGTTACCCGTCCGCCATCTACAATATTTTTTGACGCCACTTAAATCTAGCTACTCTCAACTATAGTGAATATCTTCTAAATAAAAATTAACGCTTTCATAATATTTATTATGTGTACACCTCTAACATTGCGATAAATAATGACAATATACTTATGTTTTGTTATGTACCGTCCCGTCGATACTCACAGCGAAAAACAATTACGGTTGCTATGGTTACCTGCTTACGCACATTTCTGTTCGCGAGTTTAGTTTACACATTTAGCACATTTTTACTGACTGTTATGTTATTGTTTGAAATACATTCTTTCAATTAAAATGAACAGGCTTTTACAACCTTCAAACTTTTTCTTAGACCTCGTTTTGGGGGGTTCAAGACTGTGATTACATCACTGAATTCAATGATGAACTGCCTTTAACTGAAAATTGAGTGTTTACTATTGTTATTTTGCATTATTGACACACTGTTTTCCTAATTAATGCTGTACAGTCGCTCCTGACACAATCTGTATTGTTAAAAGCGCTATATAAATAAAGGTGACTTGACAAGACATAAGGAAATCTATTCCTTATAGGCTAGTTCACACAGAATCCTTTAGCCTAACGTTACTTGTTTGTTCAAACAGTCTTAAAAATCACATTCTCTAACATTTTCTAAACAAGTACCTTAGGACAAAAAGGATGCTACATGTACTAACTTTTATAATAATAATAGTAATCTAAGACCTAAACAAAACAAATAGGTCAAATATACGACACAACAACATTAAGCCTTTTTAGCTCATTTCATCAAGCTCAGGACGCACCGTCACGCACATACGTCGTCATGCAGGAATTAATATTTAGAAAAAAATGACTCATTTTGGAGACACTCATTTTGCGTTACTTAACGCTAGCTACCAGCATCCAAGGCACCAGTGCAAGCAGAACAACAGCATTAAGTGTAACTCGACTCTCTGCGACCATGCAGCGAAACACTTGAGTGAGAGCAAGTGCTGTTGTTAGTGACGAGCGTTTACAGCCCATAACAATAACTGTACGAGTTTAATTTCGAACGATTCTGAGAAGAAAAAAAACATGTAGGCCTATTTACGCGTATTTCGACCTTTCAAATAAATATATATTTATTTATCCCATGAAATGTCTGTGGTAAGACTGCGCAATCTTAAATGAAATGGATGGTGTGAATCATACCTGTTCTTCAAACGCGCCTTCAGAAAGTTTTTTCCAAAAGGAGCCATCGCGCGTCAGTATGATCACAGGTCAGATCCAAGACATCGTGTGACGGGGAACTGAGCGCATAAACCTAATCAAGAAAGTGCCACTGAAGTGCTGGTCGTGGAAAAAGTTGAACAACTTGCGAACTTCAAAGTAAGAGGAGTTTCAAGCAGGGCCGGCCTACTTCACACGGAGGGAGGCGACAAAACTCGCCCGTCGGAGAACTGTGTTGAAGCTGATGATTGTGATAGCATCTCTGCCGTTTTCGAGAACGGGGAGTGTTGTTACACATTTTGTTTCAGTGTTTTTTCCCCCTAACGCTACGTCTCTCTAATATAATGTTCACATATTTACCTGCAACAATTTGAACCAGTTAGACGTCAAAAATAAGCTCACGGTTTAAATTAATTACAAACCGTTAAAGAGCGTTAATGTTACAACCTAACCCTCTAATGGGTTGTAACACCAACAGCAAATATTCTACAAAAATTTGGATATTCTTAATTTTTTTAAATATTTTTTTATTGTGGCAATACCACACTCTCTTTTCATTTTAAACGTTTGATTTAAATATAGGCCTAATCAATTTCATGGCATGAAATTTGATGGCATCAAATTCATGCTATTTTTTTTACACTCTACCATCAGGATGCTATTTTTCCTGTAGCCTATGTCTTTCATATTTTTACACAGAATCTAACACACCTCAGGAGGTTGGTGGTCATGTGTGATAGTGATTGGTTAAACTGACAGTGTTACCAGGCGTGCAACTGCACATTTGCTGAGGGGTATGCAAGATCAGTGTCGGCACCCCCCTGTATTCTAGTAGCCTCTAACACTAACTCCCGCAGAAATCTTTCTGCACGTCAATGACCAAAAGCCCATTACTTGTGCATGGAAGGATACAAACTAATCAAGAGTGTAAAAAATGACAAAGGTTTAAACACCCTTCCCCCTTTTTTAATACCATAGGGAAAAAAGTGAAAAGTAAAAACAAGAAGTGACGAGCGTTTACAGCCCATAACAATAACTGTACGAGTTTAATTTCGAACGATTCTGAGAAGAAAAAAAACATGTAGGCCTATTTACGCGTATTTCGACCTTTCAAATAAATATATATTTATTTATCCCATGAAATGTCTGTGGTAAGACTGCGCAATCTTAAATGAAATGGATGGTGTGAATCATACCTGTTCTTCAAACGCGCCTTCAGAAAGTTTTTTCCAAAAGGAGCCATCGCGCGTCAGTATGATCACAGGTCAGATCCAAGACATCGTGTGACGGGGAACTGAGCGCATAAACCTAATCAAGAAAGTGCCACTGAAGTGCTGGTCGTGGAAAAAGTCAGTAGTTCTTTTCACATGTTTTGCTAATGGATTTATATTTAGACATTATAAAATCACTATTATAACATTTAAAAATCTATTTTTTGTCAAAGTTCAGCATTGTTTTGTATTGAAGTGTGAAGTAGCAAGAGTTTTCAACTAATTGAATCTACTTGAATTACACAGATGGCCAATTTACAACGGCAATTTTCAGTGAAAAGTGGCTAGTTTGTATCCTTGTTTACAATCTTCTCAGTTTCTCTCAAATGTAAATCAAATGCCCATTCACAAACATGTGTTTTTTTCCCCGAGCAATAGAGATACTCAGAAATAGGCAGTGGCAGAGCCAGGATGTTTTCATAGGGGTGGCCAGGAAGAGGGCAGCAACCAGTCTGGGGTGGCACAGAAATCTTCATTATTTCAATATAGAAATGGATTTGACTATGAAGTACTGGACTGTTTTAGTGCCTAAAACAACTGAATACAATTAATTTGTACTTAATTGAGATAGTTGTGAATTACATCAAGTAGCCTAATACTGACTGAATTACCATTTTTGTTTTATTTTTGTATTACCTATAGGCTCCAGGTATTTTAATAAAAGGGCTCACTATAGCTTTATTGCTCAGTAAGCTTGGTTCTGGGTCTTAACACCCCCAAAATCCCAAAAAACTCCATCATTGCATAGGCCCACTCATGGATGAGACATACAGATAACTATAGTCAACCTTCACTGCATTTTATATAATCAATGAACTCTGAAAAAGTTATCAGTCAATGTTTCACATTCTATTAGTTGTCAACATGAATTCATCGCAGCACTTTTGTCATACCTAAATCAAGCTCTGTACAAAGGAAAATAATGTAATAATGTAAAATGAGTTATTTAATGCATTTAAATATGGTTTCATTTTCGTATTGTTTACAATCTTCTCAGTTTCTCTCAAATGTAAATCAAATGCCCATTCACAAACATGTGTTTTTTTCCCCGAGCAATAGAGATACTCAGAAATAGGCAGTGGCAGAGCCAGGATGTTTTCATAGGGGTGGCCAGGAAGAGGGCAGCAACCAGTCTGGGGTGGCACAGAAATCTTCATTATTTCAATATAGAAATGGATTTGACTATGAAGTACTGGACTGTTTTAGTGCCTAAAACAACTGAATACAATTAATTTGTACTTAATTGAGATAGTTGTGAATTACATCAAGTAGCCTAATACTGACTGAATTACCATTTTTGTTTTATTTTTGTATTACCTATAGGCTCCAGGTATTTTAATAAAAGGGCTCACTATAGCTTTATTGCTCAGTAAGCTTGGTTCTGGGTCTTAACACCCCCAAAATCCCAAAAAACTCCATCATTGCATAGGCCCACTCATGGATGAGACATACAGATAACTATAGTCAACCTTCACTGCATTTTATATAATCAATGAACTCTGAAAAAGTTATCAGTCAATGTTTCACATTCTATTAGTTGTCAAAATGAATTCATCGCAGCACTTTTGTCATACCTAAATCAAGCTCTGTACAAAGGAAAATAATGTAATAATGTAAAATGAGTTATTTAATGCATTTAAATATGGTTTCATTTTCGTACTTTACAAATGAATGAAAAATAAGCGCATTTTGTTGTGGTGGCAAAGAGATACGGCCGTTCCGCGTCTTTATAAGATTTTTATAAATACATTTTGAACTCATTAAATTGCAAAAAACAGTTCAATAAAAATGTTAAATATTAAATATTTAAGAAGTATTTAAAAATATTAAAGAAGATTTTCACAGAATGATTTTGGCAAAATGGCGCCCCCCTATGTGTGGCGCCCCTATGCACTGCATACACTGCATACCCCGTTTTTGCGCCACTGAGTGTTACAACACTCCCTGGTTTTTAATACTGTACAATGATGAATTATAATGCATCATGATAATTTAACCTTGACATTGACTATCATGTATCTGGATGGAATATTTGTTTTTGGAAGCAATCAAAATAAGCAAAGACCATTTCATTACAAACTGTACCGAGTGAATCTTTCAAGGTTAAACATCTCAAAACAGTTTACATTTTATCTCAGCACAGTATGAGCAACCTATAACAATGGAATGTATGATGGACAATAAGAGTTATTATTGGGTTGACGTGCAACTGAACAATACAGCCTAGGATAGGTAATTCTTGAAGACCGTCAATATCAATAAATTCAGATGAAGGCATTGCACATAATCTCCAACTTTAATCATCACGCTTCTAAGAACTAATCACAAATTCACTTCTTCACTCCCCCTCCTTCCACCAGAATGAAGAGAGGAACATCAAATGAGCATTTATGAAAGTTTTGACGTCAACAATCAAAGTGGTTTCTGAGGTGTTTGCTGATGTCATCGTGACACAGGACAAGGGGGCATGGAGGGAGGGATGGAGAGAGAGAGATATGCCCTATGTGTGGCGCCCCTATGCACTGCATACACTGCATACCCCGTTTTTGCGCCACTGAGTGTTACAACACTCCCTGGTTTTTAATACTGTACAATGATGAATTATAATGCATCATGATAATTTAACCTTGACATTGACTATCATGTATCTGGATGGAATATTTGTTTTTGGAAGCAATCAAAATAAGCAAAGACCATTTCATTACAAACTGTACCGAGTGAATCTTTCAAGGTTAAACATCTCAAAACAGTTTACATTTTATCTCAGCACAGTATGAGCAACCTATAACAATGGAATGTATGATGGACAATAAGAGTTATTATTGGGTTGACGTGCAACTGAACAATACAGCCTAGGATAGGTAATTCTTGAAGACCGTCAATATCAATAAATTCAGATGAAGGCATTGCACATAATCTCCAACTTTAATCATCACGCTTCTAAGAACTAATCACAAATTCACTTCTTCACTCCCCCTCCTTCCACCAGAATGAAGAGAGGAACATCAAATGAGCATTTATGAAAGTTTTGACGTCAACAATCAAAGTGGTTTCTGAGGTGTTTGCTGATGTCATCGTGACACAGGACAAGGGGGCATGGAGGGAGGGATGGAGAGAGAGAGATATGGAGATGGATACGGGAGGGGTAGGAACGATAGTACGCTCCTCTGACATCATAGAGGCTCTTATATACCGGGTGGAATGGAGCCCGCCATTCCTCACTTCACTTCTGAGAAAGCCAAGAGAAGACACAGCGAACAGGTTGGATAAGAAACCAAGAAGACAGCATCGTGACTTCTGCAGGACGCGCTGCGATTTTCTTTCTCTGTCTCTGTAACGCTCTTACAACTTATCTCCCATATTCTTCCATCTGTTTTCATACCATTTTATGACCTTTAACCCTATGGACTTGGGCCCAGCTTGAATGCGCAGAAACTGTGGGACTACTAAGAAAATGCAGATGCAGCTGACCTCCGTTATCCTCCTTTTTTTATTGTGTAATGGGCTGTGTTCAGGTAGGTGCACTTTTATCTATTTATACAAACTGATTTTACTTCTCTAAAAAAGCATATTTTAATTACCATTCAAAATGACCAAGAAAGGTAAACATTTTATGATGATCTTTGATAGCTAATATTCACATATTATGTATTTTACGGTCTTAGTTTTACTATAATGATCTGCTATATATCTTGATCTAACTGATAGTAAAATAATCAGTAAAATATCAAGATAATTTTATTAGTAATTGAATAAAGATAAAACTTCAAAATACCTTAAATTGATGGAATCATATATATAGACATATAAAAATTAAAATTTGATGGATGTCCTTTGATTTTGGTCACATTTGCTGGAGAACAATTTTCTGTTTTTATACAGTATATGGCAGGATCACAATTTACACTCACTTAATGCTCTAAATGTCTTATAGACATTTTAACCATATACATTTAAACATGATGCTGGGCAAGTGATGTATCTTATGGTTCTACCCATCTTGGAATATATGAATAATATGAAATACAGACCCATTTCACATTTTCTTCAGATCTTATTGCTTATACGCTGCAGACAAGAAACTCGTCTGGTTTCTCTGTACTTTGATGTGTATATGCTCAGTCCTACCCTTAAAACATGTCAACATTGTGTGTTTTCTCCCTCTTTATAGATATAGACCAGGGAAAAAGGGCAATAGAGGAAGAGGTACTGAGAAGTCTCCTCACTTCAAAGGTACATTCTTGCTTTTAAAACTCCTGTTGAGTGCAAGCCAACAGAGGCAATATTGGCCTTATAAGGGACCTTAATATGCCCTTTGACTGTGGGTCAGCTGAATTTTAAATGAAACTCATGATTATTTCATGGTTTCTGGTTTTGAGAATATAGCATGGTAGAGGGTGATTTATTAAACAGAATAAAGAATACAGTATTCTTTGCCAGCTAACTTTACCATCACAAGCATTAATTCTGTATACTAAGGCTTTCGGAGAGGCACTTTGACAGTGAAACCAGAATAGCACATGGATTTATAGTAAAATTAGGTTTGTGCTCCAGTCATTCAACAATTCTATTGTCTTCAATGGTCCACATTGTGTACAGCTGTCCACAAATGTAGATGCTAACTGATGTTAAATGTAATACGAAATTCCACATTTTTGTAAACTACTGATTAAAAAAAGAAATGCTTTTCCAATCAGGCAGCAAATCAGAAGCAGCGTACTCAAAAAGCAAAACGGATGAAGCTTCTACGCTCTATTAGTGGACCAAATGATGTGTCATTGCCTGAAATGACGCTCAGCTGCCTTCATTCATTGAGCAATATTCTGCACTGCATTAACATCCATTATCTATCGTCAGTACATCTGACTGTTATCCATTATCAATAGAGAATTGTGTAGGATCACAGTGTTTGTAATTTTCTTTAGATTTTTTTGAACCCTGACCACAATTTCTGGCTTTTGTAACTTTCCGTACAGGCATCCTCTCTACTGCAGAGCTAATTAAAAATTATGACTTTAAATACTGACATTAAATATGATGTCTTT